ATTCTGTAAACACTGCCTGTTTTGTTTTTTTTTTTTTGTTTTTGTTTTTTTTTTTATCTTTGTGCATATTTTCTTTCCTGTGCATCTGTTGATTCTTTTAGTGCCATCGGCTTTCACATCCTGACAACCTCAAAAAAGTGCCTCACGTTCATCTTAGTTTCCACCTTACAGTTTAACATCTCTCATCCTGGTTTTATTGGTTTCTACACGTCTAGGTATTTCTTCTCATGTTTTAAGAATACCAAGTATCTGATGTAAAATTGATAGTTCCAATAACTCATGTCATAGTTGTATTTTCTTTATACAGATGTAGCTCGTTACTTTTCATAAATATATAATGTAAATATGCATACCTATGTTTGTAACTGTTTTTATGTTACATCATTCACTTGTAATTTGACATATCAAATAACATTATCATAATAAAATGGTGAGTTTTAATCTTTTTGTGGTTTGACTGTGTTCCTTGTCACAGAGTTCAGTCCAAAAAAAATAAAAAAATAAACATTGCATAATACAATAAATACATAATATAGTATAATAGTCAGGACTGTAAATAACAACTTGCTCATGTTCACATGCAAACTCAATATAGTACAGTGAGTGCAGTTCAATTACATAGACTCCAATGTGCGATATCTAGGATATTCACAAGGCTGTGTAAAAGTCTTATGTCACATCCCTGTTTTTTTATGGTTTGCCACAAATGAGCTAGTTTAGGGGTCTGCATCCTGCAGCACTTTAGCTCTTCAGGGGCTCTGTGTTAGCCTGTTAGCCACTTCATTAATCCACCACATTTCATGTGGTGAACAAAGCAGAAATGACAGCATTTTAAAGGTAACAGACCCCTAAGCAAGACTTCCAAGTTCAGTTTAGATGTTTTTTTTTAAATGATGTAAGGCTCTCTGTTAAAAATATAAAATAGGAGCTATGTTTTTTTTTTTCTTTTTAATCTGAATAAATGTTTTTAAGGCCATTTTTAGCTGCTGTAGAAGGCAGGTTCCATAGCTAAATTTGATGGAAAATAAGGACTTTGCTTTGCAAACTATTTTATGATTTTTACTTGACATGTCTACTTTTAGTTTTATTTAAAGATATTTAAAACATGTATTCTTTTTTCATTGTCACAGAAAAAGCTATTGTCTCTTAAAAGTTAAAGGCCTAGTCTACTCCAAAGATTGATCAGTAGGGGTATCCCATTGAAGGAAGTTCAACAAACTGATCTATAAACTCTGAATTAACTTACATCCACAGTACAGAGATCCAGATGATATAGCATCTCCATAAGAGTATAAAAAAGAAAAAGAACAATTTGGACTGCATGTTCAGAAACACGGGCTTTGAAATTCTGTTACTGGAATGCCAGTTAAGGTGAGTGGATTTACACTAATGAAGTATGGTAATTGTTGCAATAAAATAATTCCTAATGGACATAGAACTACACACAAGGTGTTAAAAATTAATTTTTCTAGCTTTTTTTTCTTGGTGCTTTTAGAATACATAAAAGCCATGGAACACAGCACAGTGATCTAAAGCAGTGGTTCCCAAACTTTTTATCTTCTGACCCACAAACTGTCCATGGCAAAAACTAGTGACCCAAAATATTATTGGTCTGAGTACACA